GTAGTAGTAGTGATAGTAGTGATAGTAGTAGTAGTAGTAGTAGTAGTAGAAGTAGTAGTGGTGGTAGTAGTAGCAGTAGTATGAGTAGTGGTGTTAGTAGTAGGAGTGATAGAATTAAGAATACTTGAAAAATACAATAGTTAGAGCAGTTGTAGTAGTAGTACCAGCAGTGTTAGTGATAGTTGTTGTTGTCGAAGGCACAAACTGGAACAAACAAACAAAAAATATAGAAAGTCGCGCAATATTTCTGATGGTACTAGTAATTAATAGTATGTATAACAGTACTCGTAGTAGTGGTATGACAAATACTAGTATCGAAGTAGACGGATAAGTAGCAATAGCAGTAGTAGTCGTAGGAATAGTCGTAGTAGTCGTACTACTAGTAGCTGAAATAGTAATAGTTGTAGAAATAATAGTAGTGGTAGTAGTAGTAGTAGTAGTAGTAGTAGTACTACTAGTAGTAGTAGTAGTAGTAGTAGTAGTAGTAGTAGTAGTAGTAGTAGTAGTAGTAGTAGTAGTAGTGGTAGTAGCAGTAGTAGTGGTGGTGATGGTAGTAGCACTACTATGAGTAGTAGTAGTAGTAGTAGTAGTAGTAGTAGCAGTCGTAGTAGTAACAATAATAAAAATAGTGGTGACAGGAATAGTAGTAGACGTAGTGCTAGTGGTATACACGGTAAACAAAAAACATGTGAAATAAGAACCATAATGTGTTGGGCAATCACAGTAACAGTAATGGTATTGACACTGGTGACATTAAAAATATGAATAGTAGCAGGAGTAGTAACAATAGGAATGGTAGCAGCAGCAGTAGTAGATATAGCAATGGTAAGAACAGTCGTAGTCGTAGTTGTAACAATAATAGAAGTAGCAATACCAGTAATAGTAATAGTAGTACTAATAATGATACTATTAATAATAGTGGTAGTAGTGATATTAGTAATAGTGCTAGTAGGAACCATAATAGGAGGAGGAGGAGGAGGAGGAAAGGAGGAGGAGGAGGAGGAGGAGGAACGAGGCCTATGTGATGGCAGCGCGCAGACCCTGAACAGTGGATCATCGAACTCCCGACGTGCGAGCAGTGCTAGTAGTGGCACCAGCCGTGGGGCACCACAACGCACCAACCATATGGGAGCCAACCACACGGCACCATCTGGCGCCGACCGAGGTGCGCCAAACGCAGGGCGCCGACCAAGGAGCGTCAACTGCAGGGCACCTTAAAGCTCCAACCAGAGAGCACCACAGGGCACCAACCACAGGGCACCAACCACAAGGCACCAACCAAAGGGCACCACCACAGGGCACCAAAGCACGAAGGGCCGACCACAGCCCGCAAGGCCAGCTATTTGAATGCGGGTAAGAGCACACAATAAGCACAAGCACTGCTTGGGGAACAAAAGCACCAAGCGCGAAAAAACAAATTCGCCGGCCCAACGGGCCAGGGCGTGCTAAGATCTCCGGTACCTGGTTAACAGTATTTCTAGTTCGCGCGCGCGGGGCGGCCCCTGGGGGTCCCCGGACGAAAAGTACCCCGGCAAGGTCCCGGCAAGGTCCCCGGCAAGGTCGGGCCAGAGATGCCGGAGCCCTGTTACAGGGCCCCAGGACGGGCCAAGAGGTCCCCAAGAAGCCTCCAAGACGGTCCAAGAGGGCCCCGAGACGGCCAAAGATCGCCCGAAGACGCCCAACAGGGCCCCAAGACAGCCCAAGAGGCCTCCAGGGCCTCCAGACGCCCCAAGGGCCTTCCAAGAGGCCTCCGAAGAGGGCCCCAAGAGGCCCCCAAGACCGCTCCAAGACGGCCCACGAGGCTCCCAAGACGGCCCCGGAACGGCCCAGGAGGGCCCCCAAGACGGCCCAAGTGCCGCCCAAGACGGACCAAGAGGCCCCAAGACGGGCCCAAGAGGGGCTCAAGAGGGGAACCGAGAACTGAAAAATCGAGCCCTCCGCCCCAGAAGGCGCCCAGGAGGCCCCAAAAAGGCCCCAAGAGGCCCCCAAGAGGCCCCCAAGACGCCCCAAGAGGCGCCCAAGAGGCCCAAAAGAGGCCCCAAGAGGCCCCAAAACGGCCCCCAAGAGGCCCCAAAACTCGGCTAGCCCACAACGGTGCGACAATATGGGCCGGCGGAATGAGCGAAGCGATTAAATGATAAACGGTTCGAGCACGTGGCCCTTCGAAGCGGAACCCGGGAGGCAACCTGCGAGCGGCCCTTCTTCGATGAGCCCCGTCCAGGAACGCCCCTCCGTGCGGCACCCCACACAGTCAGCCAAGACTGGCTTGCATCCCGAATCCAGGGCCAAGCCACAGCAGCCCGTCCGGCCAACCCGTAGACGCGTGCGCAACACTCAAAAGCCTGTAACAGGGCGCGCTTTCGATCGACTATCCGATCCACACTGGCGGGCGAAAAAGGCATGGCGCACGCGTCGGGTACTTCTACGGGTCGACACGTCATTCTGCGAAAGAACAAACCACGGTGGCATTTCTGGAGATGCTACAGAGGGCGCGGCCAGATGCGGGCCTTGCAGCGTGATCTCGCGGCTCCACTCACGCGGACCCAGGACAACGTTCTGCTGCTTACGGGGATCGTGTGCCCAGCCATGCAGGGAAACGTGGTCGAGTGAGGCTTCATTAGGACGGTCACAGACAAAGCTTTCTAACGCTTGCCACTCGGACGGCCAATCCATGCCTGGAGAGCCCTGCAGGTGGCCTCGGCACGTTCGGAAACACTGGTGCAAACGGACTCTGTGCAAGATGCCTAAAAGTTGTGCCACTCGACTGCAGGGCCGAAGGCAGAGGTGGTATAAGGAGAACGATGAGGGCTGGAAAGGGAGCGAGCAGGACTGGAGATTGGGCGCGACGCTTGCTCCTAAGTGACAACCATCATAATTTCTGTGAGTCCACGGGATACCATGCCGCTGGCCTGGTGATGAAGCCGCTCTCCAACAACACCCGCCCATCTTCTGCGCCAGCGCCGAGAACTAGCGAGGTCTACATGCAAATCAGAATGACACGGCTCACGCTCAACTGGATCCTGAAAGGCCTGGATCATTATGAACAGATCTGGGTGCATGATGATGGCGCAAGACACCGAAAGCATTGCGGGCGGCCTTCTGGAATAGTGAAAGCGGTGGCAGTGGCAGGTGATGGGTGGTTGTCAGCCGTGGTCGTGGTGGCCGTGGTGGTAGCTCGTAAACTGGAAGTAGAGGCAACAACAACGACCAACCGGTGCCACTGCTCGCCTTTGTAACCCTCCGTCTTCGCGCGCAGCGCGCGAGAGCACGGGCCGGCCAGCCTCTGTGCTGTGGACGCTATTGGAGCGAGCGCAAGCCCCACAAAGAAACGCTTCATGTAGAGAGAAGTATAGCACACAGGAGTACATCGAAGATGATGCGATTGATGAGATCAAGATCAGGACCTTCGCTGACGATGTTCATGATGAGCGTTGCTGCTTTCTCTCTCCTACTGGTCCCTCTAAAAATTTGTTTGAAATAAACCCTCAAATAAAAAAGAAACAAGTCCCTATAAAAATGATTATGGTGATGAGTTTGGTCGTGGTGGTCTTCGCCGCGGCGGTGGACCCAGGTCGGCGTGTGTGAGTGGCCCCTCGACGCGCGGCCAGCCCGACCCAAACTGAAGCACGCCAGCCTCCTTTACATCGCCGTCGCCGTTGTAGTGGAAATCGAACGAACAAGGGGGACCGCACAATATCTCAATTACGTCGAATGGGAAGCCCCTTCCCCTTCGCCCTTCCACCCCCCCCCGGGGGGGGGGGGGCTTGGTCCCTCGTGACCCCACCCCTCGGGCGGTCCCCCTTGTGGAGAAGGGGGACTGGAGGGTGTGGTCTCCCTGCCCGCAGGGGAGCTCAGGATACTCCAGATTTCGTAATAAAGGGAGAGGGGTCTCATTTCGGGGGGGTCTCTTCCAGGCTATCTTGGAGGGCCTGGGGGGGTCTGGGGACGATGTTTTGGAGGGTTCTCCCACGGGGGGGGTCTGAAATGGCTTGTCTTGGAGGGTCCAGACCCCCTCCCTTTTATTACGAAGTCTGGAGTACCTCCTCCGCCTCGGCCCCCGCTCCGCCGCAGCCTGGCCAGGCCCCCGCCCCCGCCCCAGCCTCGGCCCCGGCCCCCTGGGAGGGAGGGAGAGGGAGGGAAGGGAGGGAGGGAGGGAGGGAGGGAGGAGGAGGAGGAGGAGGAGGAGGGAGGAGGAGGAGAGGAGGAGGAGGAGGAGGAGGAGGAGGAGGAGGAGGAGAGGAGGAGGGAGGATGATGAGGAGGAGGAGGAGGAGGGCCCCGGCGGCTCCGGCCCCGGCCCCGGCCCCCACAGAGCCCAATGCGCTCCCAAGGGAACTCCAAGAAGGGCCCCAGAGCGTCAGCGTCGTCGTCGTCGACGTCGACGCCGCCGCCGCCTCCGCCGTCGTCGTCGTCGTCGTCGTCGTCGTCGTCCCCCTTCGGGATCGGCGGCACTGGCCTCAAGGCCCTCTAAATCGGACAAGATAGGAACCTGAATCACCTCGGGCCGCTTCTGCACGGAGTGGAAATCAAATCGAATCGGCCGCGGCAGGATGCACAACTGCGCCATGCAAGCATGCGGCCGCATCGAATATTAAGGAAATCGAGATTGTGCCGGATCGAACAAGCCGACAAGGATATCGAATCGGGTCGACGTGGACTCTGCATTGGGGGCGCAGGATGTGAGAAGCGGGGTAGTAAACAAAACACGAAGAATAGCAAAATCCAAAGTGTGCATATGTCGGGGAGGGTGTGCATTTCGCGTTCTTTATCTGACACGAGCTACTGGGGGCCCAATGCGCGCAGAAAGAAGCAACGAAAGCCACCTGAAGACCAAACTATTCCTAAAAGATCCTGGAAACACGTGGTATCAAAATTCGATTGCGACGGCTTCCCGACATGGAATCACGAAACTCACAACGAATTCTGCGATGTGTATACATTACTGGAAAAATCCACCGTCCCACCCCCCTGAAGAGAGAAGAGAACTGCTGCAGCAAAGAAGTCCCCGGTCAGGCCAACGTGGCAGAACTCGGCAAACTGCTCCTGCAGGTCAGGGGCAGGGACAACCGAGGAGAAAACGGACAGCGAATCATGGCAAGTCTGCGATCAGCACGGAAAAACATTGTAAGCACAGTGGGCTGGTCGCGCTGCGACTGAGAAGCTCCACGCAGAGTTTCCCACTTTCCACATGCGCTTGCCCATTGTCGGGGGCGCGCAAACATGGATTAGCGATCCATGGATTTGGCGCGCCGTCGCCAAATCCATGGGTCGTGGGAGGTGTCCTCCCCAAAATGCGGCCGGTGCCGCCTCGCTCGGCGGCGACAATCCGCGATTCCCCATAGAAACGGGACCCGTCGCTAATCCACGCCCCCTTCATCCATGTTTGCGATCGCCTGGGCCAAAATCTCCCTCAATCCGCAGGCTTCCTTGAGGACGCAAGACTGTGAAAGGTGCTGGTGGATTTGCGACCATTCAGAGAGAGCGCGCCCGTGGTGCGCTTCCAAACTGGGGAGGGGGTCCCTCCTCTGGCTACCCCTACCCTTGCACCTCCCCTGCCAGAAGCCCACCCCCCTTTTTTTTTTCGCCCCCCGGAAGCTGCCCCTGCCCCCCCTGTCGCGCTCCGGAAGCTCCCCCCCCCCTTCCTGTCCAAAGGGGGGGCCCAGCTACCCACCCACCCTCTTGGACCCCCCCTGCCAGAAGCCCTCCCCCTTTTTCCGCCTCTTGGAAATTCCCCCCCCCCTCCCCCCTTAGTCGCGGTCCAAAGGGGGGGGGAGGGCGGGTTTAGCTACACCCTCCTCCCCTTTGAACCCCTCAACTGGAAGCCCCCCCGCCCTTTTGGGCGAAAGGGCGGGGGGAGCTCGGAAGCCCCCCCTGTGGGTAAAGGAAGGAGCGCCGAATAACAAAAAGGCGCCGAAAACCAACAAAGCGCCGAAAACCAAACAGCCACCGAAAACCAAAATAATGCAAAAATTAAAAAGCACACCGAAAACCGAAGGAACGCCGAAAACCGAAAGGGCGCCGAAGACCGAAGGTGCGCCGAAAACCAAAACGGCGCCGAAAACCGAAGGGGCGCCCCGAAAACCAAAGGAGCGCTGAAAACCAAAGGGGCGCCGAAAACCAAGAGGGCGCCAACAACCAAAAAGGAACCGAGGGTCGCCGAACTTGAAAACCACGCGGGAAACCACAGGGGGCCCGAAAACCAATAGGGCGCCGACAACCAAGGTCAGGTCAGGTCAAGCCGTAGGCTGCGGCAGCCCATGGGCGCGTGCACTTGCACGTGGGCGGGAACACCGTCTTTGACGGTGTCCGCCCTGCGAGCTGCCCAACGCAGCAATGGACGCGCGCGCCTTTCATCGACCCCTTGCTGGGGGGAAAAGAGGACGCGCAAAGGAAGAGGAGGGGCGCACGACGGGCGAGGACGAGCGACGAGGCCGAAGGGGAGAAGGAAAAACAACGACGAGGGGGGCGACGGAGGAAACGCGAGCGACAAAGACCTAGCGACCGCAACTATTCTGCCACTCCAGACGGCAGCCGGCAGCCTTGACACAGCTGCACAACTGGAGCCTTCTTGACGACCCTGCGTCAGCGCGGCTCGTTGGACACGGTGTCTCCCAGTCCGTGCAAACTCCCTGCGATCCGCGCGCCACGAAGTAGCACTGCGCGGGCCCACTCCATTCGCGGCCTTCGACGGACCCGGACAAAGCGATCTCCGACAAAGCCAGGACAGGACGATGCGTCTCGCATGGCGGCCCCTCCTGGCTGCCGGATCACTCCCCCAAGCAAAGGAAGCTGCCTGCGCCGTCGTTGAAGGGAGGCGGCTTCCGCATCGACCGTCTGCAGTGCGGAAGTGTTCGACGTCCAGGAGACATACGCTGGTGGAATCTTCAGGATTACCCTCAGGCACCGCGCTTGAAACCCATCCAACCTGCGAAGGGCCGCCTTCGTGAGACAGCCCGCTGCCGAGCCGCAAAGCAGCCTGAATCGACGAGCGCGTGGAGCGAGCGCAGCCGCCACTGCAAAGACAGAGATGAGCGTCTCCAAACCTGCCGAACTGCCCAGAAGGCTGCGCGCGCCAGTCCGACTCGTCGAATGAGTTCCCCCGCCGTTCTGCCATCCGCAGACAGAGGCGTGCCCGAATAAATCAGCGACTCCCCCGGCGCCACGTCGCGGCCAGACACGCTAAGAGGTCGATTCACGCAGGCCCGCAGCAGATGGAGCGCATCCAAGTGAAGCGCCCGCGCACGCAATCTGCGATCTCTTTGACGCGCGCCGCGACCCCTATCAGCGAGGTGTCATCGGCAAAAGCAACACCTGCAGGGTCTCGCTCGCGATAACCTCTGCGGCGGACGGGCCCAAGAAAGCCGCGGCGCCCTCCATCAACGCAACGACGGTAAATAAGAGCGGACTGAGGGTACATCCCTGTGAGATTCCGGACTTCTGGCGGCGCTTGGCGGACTGGCGCCCCTTGTCGTCGACGTAAACATTTCGCCCCTGCATCGTGCCTCGCAGCAACGCGCGGCACCCAGCAGGGACCCGAAAGCGCCCCAGAGCAGCCCTCATACCGTCTACGCCCACGCTGTCGAAGGCCTTCCCCCCGTCGATCTCCTTGGACAAGCATTTCTCACGGCTGATACCCCCGCGCTGTCGCAAGCCAGGAATGCCTCCGCTGATCCGAGGTTCGCGCCAGCCTCATGCTTCCGTCGGAATGCAATACTCTATGGCTTTGCAAATTCCATGACGTAGAGGCTCCCAGGAATTGACCGACCGCTCGCTCGAGGCGCCTTCGAAATTGCCGGCGTTCGCCCTGACGCCGAGCAAGAACGCTGTCTTCACGCGTTGGCGCCGCAGGGCCTGCCAAGCGCACCTCGATCGGCGCGCTGGTCTGTCCACGCCACGCAAAACCCTGACCGCAACCAAGACTGAAAGTGGCGCGACGATGCGGCAGCAAGCCGGTCGCCTCGCAGCGCAGAGGCCTCGTCCAAGAGCCATACTGGAGTCGCTAGAACGAGATCGAGCATTACAGAAATATCCGGGACGACGGGAGAAGCCGGCATAGCACGTGGGATCTAATACGTTATCGGGCTCTCCGGGGCGTGCTGGAAGAACGCGCTGGCTATGGCATGCTCGTGGCTGAAACAGAATACCAGTAACATGTTTCTGTTGGGCAGTGGGACCGCGCGCGACGCCTCATTGCCAAACGCGTGCGCCCCGATAACAGATTCCTCTCCGTACCTGCGCTGGTGGCGTTGAGGTCTCTGGTGACGCACTTGCCCCGGGAGGCCGCGGCACTGTCCAAGCGGAGCTCGAGGCCCCCATAAAACGACAGCTGCTTTCCAGAGGCCGCAAGCTGTGCAGTGCGCATACAGCAACAAACGCCATGACCCCTGTAACCCTTCTTACTCTCAAATTGGCCACCCTGCTCTCGTCCGGCCAGAAACTCAAAACGCGTTTCCGGAAAAGTGCGGAGACCATGAAGCCCACACCTGCCCATTCTGGACCGTCTGCGCCAAAGCCAGACAAGTATACCTCGTACCCTGTGCCTGTTTTTAATATATCGGATTTGCCCTTCCAGGTCTCCTGAAGAAGACGTCACGTCCACCGACTTCACACTAATATAAATTCTGAGTTGTTCAAATCTGACGTCTGTGAGGCCCTCGACGTTCCAGGTGCATACATTGACGTACTCGCCGACAGGCGAAAAATCGACTGAATTATCCATAGGCTGCCCTGCGTTCTACTGGGCTGTGGCACCCTTGCCTTTCTTCCCGTTGCCAGAGCTGGAGGAATTCTCCTTGGCCCTGTCGAGCCGGGATTGCGCATCTGACGTCAGGGTGGCGAGCTCCGCACCACCGTGAAGATGTCCTCGCCTGCCACTTTCAGCACGCGGCTCCCTGTGTCGACCTCGACCTTCTTGCCGTAGCCCCACTGAAGCAGCATACGCTTGAAGGCAAAGAGGGCTGACTCCGCCGTGCGAGGACCCAGGGGCAAATCGAGCCTTGCCCACGGCTGTCCTGAATCTCCCTGCGGGGATTGACGAACAACAGACATGAGCGATCCCCGGTATGCAACAGATGGGCACTTGATAAAAACCACGCTCTTGAAATCGCCCTCCTTGACATATGGGTCCAGAGGTGTGGGGACGCCGGTGTCCTTGCAACGCTCGTGGATCCAATCCTTGACCTTGTCGAGGGTGTCCGCGTTGGGGGCGTTGCCAATGACCACGGTGAGGTTTTCGCTCAAAGTCTGCTGCGCTGCTGTGCTGGCGTTGGCCTGGATGATGTCGAGGTCCCCCTTGAGCTTGGCAAGCTCGCTACGGAAAGACTCCTGCTTCTCCTCCATTCCTGTCATCCGCAATCCCATGTGATTCAAATCCTTGCGTACTTCCCATTTGAACGTAGACAAATCCCCCAACAGCCGGTCGACAGACATCTTCACAGGCTTTAACTCTGCCTGCTACAGTTTCTGGATGTTCCCCATGGTTACCATGTTTGGGTATTCCTCCTCGAACTCATCATCGTCATTGAAGCCATCGTCCACACAGCATTTCTTGGGCACGGGTAGGGTAAAGAAAGAAGAGAAGACATGATGCGTACAGAAATGAATCAGGAGTCACTGCAAATAAGATGGGTAGGGTGAAAGATCGAAGGAACGTCTACGGTACCAGTCTCTGTATGGCACTCCTCCGGGAGCCTCCGGGAGACCTTGAGCCAATGGGGCGCCGACAACCAAAAGGGTACCAAAAACCAAAAGGAGCGCCGAAAACCAAAGGGGCGCCGAAAACCAAAGGGCACCGAGAACCAAAAGAGCGCCGAAAATCGAAAGGGCGCCGGAAACCAAAAAAGCGGCAGAAAACCAACCAAAGGAGGACGAAAACCAAAAAAATAAAGAACACAAAAAGGGATGCCGAAAAGCAAACATGCTCCTGAAATCAAAAGGGCGACGAAAGCCAAAAGGACACCGAAAACCAAAGGGGCACCGAAAACCAAGAGGGCGCCAAAAACCAAAGGAGCGCCGAAGACTAAAGGGGCGCCGAAAACCAACGA